AAATGTTAATTTATTTTTATTTTTATTTTTTATTTTTTTCCATGTGTACAGGGGTAACACATCGTACTAAATATGTAAGGTCATATCTACGTGGGTTTGATTACAGAAACTAATAAAGTATTCTCTAAATAATGAAAAAAAGAATAAGACTATAAGAGCGAGAAGCAATTTAAATATGTTTAGGGACCATTTTCATCTCCAGAATTAAGGATTATTTTAATGTTACATCATTGCCTTTTCTCTTTTACTTTCCTTTTTAGTTTTATTTTAGGATTCCCTATTTTTAATGTTCATACAGAGATTTCTTTAACTGAAATACCGAACAGTTTCTTTGGTGTGAAAAACTATAGTAGTACACAGGATCCAAATGAGATAATAATGTGAAATAGGAAATAAAGGGCTAAAGGTGTAGGGAAAGTGGGAAGGGTGGGGGAAAGGTAATAAGGGAGAGGAAAAAAATATGAGAAACTGAAAATATGGAAATAAAGTATTTGTAAATGGGGAGGGGAGGAGGGGGTGAAGGGAGGGCAGGGACAAGGAAAAAATGAGAATCAAGACCTATTATGTAAAGGTACAGAATCCCAATGATGAATGTAATTGTATTGTATACCTAGATTGTACCAGTAAGCTCAATAAAAAGAAAAAAATAAATTCTAGCTAGGTACCTTTGTCATAAGCTCTATCTTAGACTTGGTTCTGTTTTTGTTAAAAAGTATGCTAAAGTGCTCGCTTCAACAGCATATATACTAAAAAATATGATAAAAAGAGTTAATAGGCATAGTAGCACCAACCTAAGACTTTTGATAAAATCAGGTCATTGAAAGGATGATTTTTGGGTATGTGAATTAGTGCCATTTAATGACTGGTGTTTCTTGACAGCTATAATATCATGTACCAGGGGTACTTAATTCATACTTTGAGAAGTGTTTACCGTTCTACCAACTTTGTTCTTTCCATTGGAGAAGTTGTAGGCCTGAGACTTGTTCTAAGTTATACAGCCCAACTAAACTTTTGCCTGGTACCTGATAGCTAGTCTATTTGTTATTTCATTATACATTTTTTTGTTGTAAGAGAACTGTTTAGTAAACTGATACAGATATAATTCTTTTTAGCTTTGTTTGTGTCTTTCAATTTATATTATAGAAATATAACAATACAAAAAATAAAAATAAAAACCCCTGAACTTTACAAACTTCACTATTCCATTGTTTGTATGCAGTATTTGCTTTTCTTTTGGGGGAAGGGTGAGTGTGAATCTAATATGCATCTGTTGGTGGTATTAATTGTATTGATAGGATCATTAGGAAAGCCAGTTTAATAATAAGACTTGCCCTAGTGGTTTTTGGATGTTTTTTGTTGTGGTGGTAGTGCTTTTTTGTTTTGTTTTTGTGTGTTGTTATTTTGGCTGTACTTGGAGATTGAGCTACATCCCCAGCTGTTTATTTTGAGGCAGAGTCTTGTTAAGTTCCCCAGGCTGGGCTCAAATTTGGAGTCCTCCTTCCTCAGCCTCCAATACTAGCCACCATGCCTGGCTGTGTATTAGCTTCTTATTTCTGCTATAACAGACTACCATGTGGCTTAAGACAACAGCAATTTATTATTTTACAGTTCTAGAGATTATAAATCCAGAAATAAGTTTCACTGTGTTAAAATTAAGGTGTTGGCAGGATTATATTACTTTTAGAGGTACTAGGGAAGAATCTATGTCTTTGCTTTTCCTAGAGTTTCCATGCTTTTCTTGACTTGTGATTCCTCCATTTTCAAAGCCAGGAGCCTAATATCTGCAAATCTCACTTTGAGATGTATAATGTATAATCTGAGCTCTCTCTTCTATTTTATTTAATTTACTTTGGCGGGGGGTGTTTTTTTGAGACAGGGTCTCACTATGTATTTGAGACTGACCTGAAACTCACTATGTAGCCCAGGCTGGTCTCGAACTCACAGCGATCCTCCTGCCTCAGCCTCCCGATTGCTGGGATTACAGGTGTGAGCCACCACGCCCAGCTTCTCTCTTCTATTTTAAAGGATACATGTTATTTCTTTGAGCCCCACTCTCATAATCTTGGATAATCTAGCATAGCATGCCTATTTTTAGTCACATCTGTAAGGTCCTTTTTGCTATATAACATGTGTATATGTTCTATAGATTAGAATATAGATATTGTGGGTGGGGGGCTGTATCCTGCGTACCATATCTAGAATCTAAGTTTTTTGTGCTTGTTTTTGTTTGTTTTGTTTTATAGCATTAGGTGGTCTCTTCGGTCAGCCTACACAAGCTCCTACCCAGTCCAACCAGCTGATAAATACTGCAAGTGCTCTTTCTGCTCCAACACTATTGGGAGATGAGAGAGATGCTATTTTAGCAAAATGGAATCAACTGCAGGCTTTTTGGGGAACAGGAAAAGGGTATTTCAACAATAATATTCCACCAGTGGAATTCACACAAGAAAATCCTTTTTGCCGGTTTAAGGTATTATACATTTGAAGAGTGTATATATAAGAGAGAATTTGACTTTTAGATTTAAAAATCACATCAAGAAAGCAGTTGCTTTGTTCTTTAGCACTTTGTGCTTCGAGCATGGTATGATTTTACTTTAAAAATCCAAAAATTATAAAATCAAGGTAATTTGGTTAAAAACAAAAAGTGATCATCCTGTCTTACCACTAGCAAAAATACAGGTTGAGTAATTCATCTGAAATGCCTGAGATCAGAAGTATTTCAGATATCAGACTTTTTCACATTTTGGAATATTTGCATATACACGAGACATCTTGGGGATGGGAACTAAGTCTAAACATAAAATTCATTTATGCATTATCTGCAGCTTCTACACATACCTAAAGGCAACTGTGTTTTCCCTATATCTTATCATGAGATCAGGTGTGGAAATTTCCACTTGGTTGCATCATGTTTTGATACTCAGAAAGTTTCAGACTTTGGAGCACTTCAGATATTCACATTAGGGGCATTCAACTTATATCTTAAGTGCATTAATTAAAATTTTAATATTTTTGTCTAGTGAAGTATGAATTAGACATGTTATATATAATTTAAGTTTTTCTCTGAAAAAAGTTGGTGTAGGGCCAGGGATTTAGTTTAGCGGTTTGGTGGCCTGCCTTGCAAGCACAAGGACCCGAGTTCAATCCCCGGTACCAAAAAAAAAAGTTGGTGTATAATATACATATGTGAAAACACATATTAAACACTTGGATGAATTGAAATACTTTTTAAAAGTTGTGTGTGGTGGTAACAAGGAACCACAGTATCTAAATGAAAAGTTTTCAGCAAGGTATTTAATATTTGATTAAAGAAAACCTGATTCATAGTTTTCTGCTACACAAAACCATAAAATTATAGCAGTTCTATAGTATTTCTAACTTGATGGCATCATTATTGTACTTTTAAAAGCATTTCTAAATCCTTTCTTTGTTTAAAACTTAGGGGCCAGGGATGTAGCTCAGCAGCATCATGCCTGCTTGGCAAGCTGAAGGTCCTAAGTTTGATTTCTGCTACTAGAAAAAAAAAATGACTAAGATTCTTCAAATCAAAGGCTGGGAGTGTAGCTCAGTGGCAGAACATATGCCTATCATGTGCGAGGCTATGAGTTTGATCTTTAATATTACAAAAAATTCTATGAATTTTCTATATGGTGAAATACATTTCATCTATAATTTTTGTGGTCATAGCAGTACGGCATTTAGACAGGGTTTCAGTATGTAGCGTAGTCTGGCCTTGAACTTGCAGCAATCCCTGCCTCAGCCTCTCAAGTGCCGGAATTATGCCCATCATTGGGTGCTGGGATGCACCACCATGCCTGGCTTTGCAGTCATTTTATAATGACATACACAGTTGTTTCAGTCATTCAGAAACACCCAACCATAATGGATACCAAAATTCTTCTGAGGAGAAAGCTCTTAACTATCTGTAAGATGAAATTTTAATTTCACTATATGTTTATGTTATTCTTGGGCAATAGAATTTTTCTCGTAATAGAATTTTTATATGTAATTGTATGATTCCTAAGATACAGTATGGTAGGAAGAACTATATTTTCTTCATTACTAGACATTAAGTTATTTTCCTCATTTTAGTAGGTATTAAACTACTAATTTTAACCATTTGATTTTAAGATCTGTGCGTATTTTTGATATTATTTACTTGTTATTTCACAGGCTGTAGGTTATAGTTGTATGCCCAATAATAAAGATGAAGATGGGCTAGTGGTTTTAGTTTTCAACAAAAAAGAAACAGATATTCGAAGCCAGCAACAGCAGTTGGTAGAATCGTTGCATAAAATTTTGGGAGGAAATCAGACCCTTGCTGTAAATGTAGAGGGTATTAAAACATTGCCAGATGATCAGTAAGTATACTCAATGTATTGTTTATTTCTTTGTGCCCTACTCCAAAGAGAGTTATCAGCAGTGTTTTTTTGTTGCTGAAGCACAAATTAAATATCAGAGCAGAATATTAATTTTTCATAAATATTAGAAAAGTTTATTAGCTTTTAATTTTGCATTTCTTACTAGATCCTAATAATTTCGTTCAGGTCAAAAATAGTAATAGTAATAATTTCATTCAGGTCCAGGATCTGAATCACACATGGCTGTGTGCAAATGAGTACCTTAAAGATGTTACTGGAAAGTTTTATTAACTGATTCCTATCTATGTTCATTCATGGATAAATATAGTTGCTTTACTTCCTTTGTCCCATGTATAATTTTTAGTCTTAGTGGCAAGACATTTGTTTTAGGACATATAGGGTTAGAGAAATTATGATTAGTGAGCTATAATAACTGAATTAGATTTTACTTCTTGGATCTTAATTGCAGAGAAGCACCCCATAATAAATAATACTTATATGAAATTATACACATTTTGTCTTATGTATCTGCCTCATGTTATCATTTAAGTACATATTTTTTTCCAAGACTTAAAATCAAAACAGTTCCCTTTTAAAAATCCATTTCTGAATTTAGTTAGCACCCATGTAAAACCATGCTGTGTTGATACTTGTAGCTGTGGGTTATGTACTCACTATTTTATAAATTGGTTATTTTCCTCCAGGACAGAAGTTGTTATTTACGTTGTTGAGCGTTCTCCAAATGGTACCTCAAGAAGAGTTCCAGCTACAACACTGTATGCCCATTTTGAACAAGCCAATATAAAAACGCAACTACAGCAACTTGGTGTGACCCTTTCAATGATTAGAACAGAACTTTCTCCTGCACAGATCAAGCAGCTTTTACAGAATCCTCCTGCTGGTATGTTTCTAGAGTCAGAGTTGAGAAAATGAAAAATTTGGTAAATATGCATGTGAATAACTGCATATAGCTATGTTTGTTAGAAATTTTGGGAAATGGTGAACTAAAGAAAGCAGGCCATAGGTGTACTTGTAAAATTTAAAATTTTTTTTCTAGTTTATCTCTTATTTTAACTGAGAATTGAAATAAAACCTGTGTGTTCTCCGTTAAAGATTCTAGGTGACCTAAAAGGTTGACTGTTATAATTCTTTATCTCCATTCCCTAGAACTATTAATTTATTATATTCTGTTCCTGCATTGTGTGTGATTTAATTTAATTTGATTTCAATTTGGAGACAAGGTCTGTAATTCAGGCTGGCCTTGAACTCACTATGTAGCCCAGGTTGGCCCCAAACTCTTCATGATCCTGCAGTCTATCCTAAGTGCTGGCATTAAAGGTGTGTGCCACCACACCCAGCTTGTCTATCTGTGATTTTAAATGTGAGCATATGTAATTCTCTTAGAAAAGGATTCTGTACTGTACTTTACTGCAGCATTGTTTAGAGCCAGAAATGATGTTGCATGCCTGTAGTTCCAGCACTTGGGAGGGTGAGGCAGGAGAACTGCCAAGTTCAAGTTCTCCTGGGACAACTTACTGAGTCCCTTTCTCAAAATAAAAAGGAATGGGTATGTAGCTCCTAGGAAGGCCCGGGGCTCAATCCTGATTATTCAATAACACAAAGGAAACACTAATAGTATTTCCTGAATAATACCTTATTTTATTTAACCTTAATATTACTTCTGTGTTTCCACTTTTCTAAATCAAGCAACAGTTAACATGTAAATATGTGTTAGAAAAAATGGGTAAATACTTTTTAGAACGGATCTCTGGTAATGAAATAAAGTTGACAGTATGTTTGATATGTTGGATACTGCCTAATTGCACACTAAGGAAAGTCCTACTGTTTACATCTATAATAAGGAGATGTAATAGTACTTGTCTTTTTCTTGTCATGGGGGGAAATATTTGTTAGCCAAGTGCTCTACCACTGAGTTATATATCCCCAGGCTTTCTCCCTTTCTCCCCTTTTGCCACCGATGGCCTTTTTAAAAATTTTTTTTCTTGTTTAAATTTATTGTTTCTTTTTAAGTATGCAGTACAGTTAAAATTCATCATTGGGATCTTGTACCCTTACATGCTTGGTTCTCATTTAAAATTTTTTTTTTGTAGTACTGGGGCTTGAACCCAGGGCTTTCAACTCTGCTACATCTCCATCTCTTTTTAAAAAAAGAAACAGGGTCTAAGTGGCTTAGTTGCTCGGGCTGAGTTCAAATTTAAGCATCCTTCCACCTCAGCCTCTGGGAGTACTGAGACCGCAGGCTTGTACCACCATATTCAGCCCAATAATACTGATTTTAATTTGCATTTCCCTATTTCCAGTAAAGTTGAACATCTTTCATGTGTTTATTAGTGCCATGTTGCTATTCTTCTGTTACCTGTTTGTCATATGCTCATGCTCTATCAAGTTATGTATCTTCCTTTTTATTCATAGCTCTTTCTATATTCTGCAGGTTCTATTTCCTTTCAATCCATATTTTTTAGTTTTATCCTACAAAAAATTTAATTTTTATACTGATAATATTTGACACACTTTTTATTATCACTTCTGAGTTTTTGCATATTTTAGAAAAGTCTTTCTCATAAGGACTTAATAAACATAGAAAATAGTTTTGGAAACAATTTTTTTTTTTTTTTTTTTTGTGGTAGGTGTTGATCCTATTATTTGGGAACAAGCCAAGGTGGATAACCCTGATTCTGAAAAGTAAGTGTATCTTCATTTCATTTTATACATGAACTAAAACCTACTATGAAGGAAGTAAACAAATGCATGCTGGACTATTATAATTTTTATACTCGAGGGGAGTTTTCATTTTCATTGCTTTTTAAAAGTATATCTACTGTGGTAAGGTAGCATAGTGTGGTGAAAACAGCTAGATGAAGAAATCTGAGTGCCAGTCCCCTAATTACATTTGCATTTAAGTAATGCAGGTTTTTGAATGAACTGTATTTCCTCATTTGTAAAAGAGGGAAGTTGAATTAAATCTCTGTACTTATAATGCTGTTGATTTTCATAGTTATGATCTAGAAGTTTGATGTACTAGTATATGTATGTTATGAAAATCTTGTGTTTTGTAGTAATAGGCTTACTATCCGAAAATTGTTCTCTTGCCTTTCTTCAGGTTAATTCCTGTACCTATGGTGGGCTTTAAAGAACTTCTCCGAAGACTGAAAGTTCAAGATCAGATGACTAAGCAGCATCAGACCAGATTAGATGTAAGCAGTTTGTTTCATTGTCTAGTCCTGACAGTAGGAAATGGAATTATAGACATTTAATTCTTTTTTGCCATATATGCTATCTTTTTTATGGAAAACCAATACAATACAAGTTAACATGGTCGGGGATTTAGCTTAATGGTTCTGCTGCCTACCTCTCAAGCTCAAGGTCCTGAGTTTGATCCCTGGTACACAAAGAAAACTATGACTGTTAATGTGTATTGTTTTTTGTTTTTGGTAGTGGCGGGGATCGAACTCAGGACCTTGCGCTTTCTAGGCAGGTGTGGTGCCACTGAGCTAAATCCCCAGCCAACAGTGATAGTTTTATAGACCATCTTTTTTTTTTTTTTTAAATAAAAAAGTTTACTCCATCAATGGGGATTGATCACACCTAATGGCCGTGCCCTGATTGACACACACACACACACACACACACACACACACCCACCATTGGGTTACAACTCCTCCTTTTATAGGGTTTTACAGACTTGATCTATTTAGTTGGTTATATTGCATTTTCACAGTTCACCTCGCTGATACTTAAAACCTGGTGAGGAGGCGGTTGAATTTCAATGGCATTCTTTGTTAGGGGAGGTTACCTTTAAGATTTATCTATTCCAGCCAAGGGTAAGGGAGGTGTTTGGTCAGCAAAGCTAACAGTGGTTCTTTTCATTTACAGAACTTTTAGAGACTAGATGCTTCTGGTGCCACTTAATTCTGAACTAAACAGAGCAAAGGGCAAAGTTATTTTACATTGTGATACTTCCTAAGTTTTCCCTGTCATTCCTCCCTTTGTTTTTGGGGTAACTCCTTACCCTTCATTATGCTCATACCAATTTTCATTATTATTGTTATTATTCATAATCAACATCTGGTAGTGCTGGGCAGGGTTACTCTGATGTATGAGCCTCAATATCCATTTTACCATGCAGGGACCAAATGTGAGTACAAGCAGTATGACAATAATTGGTCCTGTGAGAGTGCTGACCCAGGTTCTCCATCCTGACAAGTTAAAACCAAAATTAAATGTCGAGTCCTCAGTACCAAACTTTTCCTAGCAGTTTAATACGATCTCTTAGTTTATCTAGTAATTCCTTAATTATTCCAGATCTGTTGGCATAGTAGCAGCATTCATCTCCTAGAAACACACAAGTTCCTCCTCTATGAGCAGTGAGCAAATCAAGAGGCCCAACCTCTTCTGTAACACTATATTAGCTAATGAATCTGAGTTTCTAAGGCTTGTATCTCATCCCAAATTTCTTCTAAGTCTTTTCTAATTTTTTGTCCCAAAGCTACAAACTGTTGCCCTAATCCGAGGGCCATGGCACTTAGAGTGAGACTGCCTGCTATAGCTAATCCTGCTAGTATGGGGAGGACAGTTGGGTCCGTTTTCCTTCTTAACAAACTGTTCCAGTGATCTGCAAAGGTACCTTTCTTATGGCTGAAGGGGTATATACAGACAAGTTGGGGATTAGGATCCCCAAAGCACACAAACCAGCAAAGTACCTTGAAATCACCTTAAAAACACCATTTTTACAGAGAAAGAAAGTTCTGTTTGGGGAAGAGTAATTACCAGTGGTTGAGGATAAATCAACAATGTTAGTGCAAATGGCTGAAACATTGCGTGATCTTTGAACACCTAGAAAACAAGTTCCATTATCAGATATATCTAATGGATAGTTGAGTAGGGGGTACATGGCAAGCTTTACTGGCTCTAAGGCAAGTCACTCATGATGCCAATTGCCTGATAAGTCATTCTGGTAAGTGGTGCACAAATCCAAGCGTCAGAGGCTAATTTTTGATCTGTCCATAACAGCAGTGAATAAGTATAAGCAATTAAATCTATCATAGCTATCCCTGTATACCTACGAGGGCCCCCATCTCTTATCTGTTGAATCTCCTTTGGGGCAGGGATTTCTCCAAACTTAGGGGAGACATTCTCCAAATTTTTACAACCTGGAGAATCCACTGGTGTCCACAAGCAAGTGGTGACCAATGTTCTGGGGTAGAGGAATATCCTATGTATACCCTGTAAGATTGTCCTTTCAACCATATACTATCCCAGGGGTTACTTAAAACCATACTGAGTGGGTTATATTGACCCTGTATACAATTGTTACAGTTCTTGGTGTTTCTGGCCATATCAGTATTGTTTAACCATATTTGGGTCTTCTGTTTACAATAGGTTTGTTCCTAAGAATAGCCTCCACAGTCATAGTTAACACCAGGTCCCCCATAATGTTCCCTGGGACAAGCATCAAACGTCACAGTTAATGGATATTCTTCTGGGTCCCATTTGACAGATCTAAATGTCACATAATTTTCATCAAACTTACCATTTTTAGGCTTATAAACCCTTAGCTCAAAAACAAAATAACTCGTAATAGTCTGACATAGCAAAAGAGTCCATAATATCTTGATTGCATTTCTCATTCTTCAGTTGTGCGTGGACTCACCAGGTTCCAGCGTGGCGAGAGCAGGGCTTTGAGTGCATTGTCTCCTAGAGTCAAAGTCCGTGGAATTCTCTTGATAGACCTCTTTCACTCTAGAGTGGTGGGAGCTTAACTTCAGCTACCTTGATAGCTGCGGGAGTAACCATAGTGCCTCATATGGCCCTTTCCATGTAGGTCATAAAGGGGTCTTTTTCCAATTTTTAACATAAACTTGGTCCCCTGGTTTTATCAGATGGGCAGGAGTTAGCACAGGAAGGTCCTCTTTATTTCTAATTTGCCCTTGAATATTTTGGAACACTTTGCCCAATTCTAACAGCTGTAATGCCATACTGGATAAGCCCAGTTGAGATAAAGTCTCTCAAGATACAGGGTGGCCTTCCAAACAAGACCTCGTATGGGGAGAACTCAGTATATGACTTGGGGTATCTCTTATTTCAAGGAAGGCCAAAGGAAGCAGGTAGACCCATAACCCTGGTGTTATCTGAAAATTTAGCTAATATGCTCTTAATGGTATGATTCATCATTTTTTCAATCTTACCAGAACTCTGAGGTCAATAAGCAGTATAATAGTTTAGCTAGATCTTGTACAACCTGTGCTGCAAATGCTGGGCAAACCAAACCTTGGAATTTTTCTCCTTTAATAAAATATTGCATACCTCTGAAGCCCTCTCTGTTTTCATAGGGAAGGCCTCAGGCTGTCCAGAGTAAGTACAATCCTGCATCAACATATAGTTTAGAAGGGGTGGGTATAATCACGTGGTTTCTGTTTAGTTGTCCTGTTGGCTTATATGTCTACCTTAGCATTGGCTTTTGCTATTGCATCTTTTCTTTCTTGAATTATTATTGCTACTTTGTCAGATTTCCACATTGCCTCAAACAAGTGTACTATATCCCGTTTATTTTTAATGTTTGCCCTCTGCTGTGAGAAGACCACACTTTTATAGACAGGAATCTGTATAAACACTTACCCTCTTTTCTTTTGCCCATCGGAGAGCCTGTATGAGTGCCCATAGCTGCCCGCACTGAGCCTACCATCCAGTGGGAGGGCGGTTGCTGCTTGGACCACTTCATCTCTGCATAGCCAGCATAGAGTACCCCATTTTCCATAAAGCTGCTCCCATCCTTGAACAGGATGAAATCAGCACCAGGCAGTGGTCTTTCTGCAGATCTGGATGACTGGAGAAAAACTCGGTGGTGGTGACCCTGAGGCAGTCGTGGTCAGGGGGCCAAGTTCCGAGGGCAAAAAGTAGTGGGTTTTAACTGGAGCAAAATATAGGCAGGGATTCTCACAGATGAGGGCCTAATATTATGTGACTCTATTATTTGAGAGCCATTGATGTCCTGTAATTCAACAAAAAGGCATGGGGAAACTGAACAGTCCATTTTTCCTAATGTTAGCTTGTCAGCTTCCGTAATTAGTGTAACTACAGCTGCCAGGGCTCATAAACAAGGGGGCTATCTCTTCGTAGCTGGATCCAAACTCTAAGATAAATATGCTACTGGCTGATTCCATGGGCCTACTCCTTGAGTGAACACCCCTAAAGCAGTATGATTTCTTTCAGTCATGCACAAAGTAAAAGGCTGACTCACATTTAGGATCCCCAATACAGGGGGCAGCAGAGCGAGTTAGTTTTAGCTGTTTAAATGCTGACTCTTGCTCTTCACCCTATAATAATTACTGTCCTTCTGGGCCCTTTAAAGCTTCATATAAAAGTTTGACTATATCTGCAAACCCTGGAATCCAGATCCTGCAAAAACCTGTTACCCCAAAAATTCTCTCATCTGCTTTCGAGTCCTTTTATCTCCCAAGCAGCTTATACCTTTGGAAACTTGGAATCCTAAATATCTGACTTGCTGTACACAAATTTGAGCCTTTTCCATGAAACTTTATATCCTGTCTCTTGAAGCAACATTAATAGTTTCTTAATACCCTTTGAGGTTTTTATTAATTTAGTACATCAGGAAATTAACAGTAATAAGCATAATTTTATATATGAAACTTCATGCCCTTTAATATGGTATCAAAAGCATTTTTCCAATAAACCCTTTAAACTTTTCCCACAGAAAAAACATCGTATTTTGAAAATTACTATTATAAACATATCACAATAACATATTTAGAATCCAACCCTTTGGTGATAACCAATATAAACATTTTATAGCAATATATTTAGTGATATTTTTGGGGAGTGTATATCTTCCCATAGGCCATGAAAACTGTTGGGGCTTCCATTAGTGAATAAAGACCACAATAAATTTTTCTGAGCAGCTGTCCTTTTTACCATTAACAGGAGTCTATCCAGACCTAAGAGTTTATATTTAATTCTCTCAACAAAATTTTAACTTATAAGACCAGGTTATAGAAATTAATGAATTATTAGAATCTTTGATGTCATTTCAGTCAGAATAAAATTGGACAAACATTTTTCAAACAACTGGACAGACACAAACATATAAGACAATTTATGAAACTATAATGCACTCAAATGTATTTGGCCAATTGAATTATAAAATCTCTTTATTTTTTTGTTTTTGTTTTTGGTACTG